TCGATCCCCTCCCCCCCCCCCCCCCCCCCCCCCCCCCCCCCCCCCCCCCCCCCCCCCCCCGCCCTCCTCACCTAACCCAGACATAACCAGGCGAATCCAGACTCCCCCCCCTTCCAACCCACCACAACCCCTCATAAATGCGGCATCAGGATCCCCAAAACAACCCACTCCAGACATAACGGCGCTAGTCCCAAATTCCCCCCCTTCCCCCCCCCCCCCCCCCCCCCCGCAAAAAAAAAAGCCCTCTCAACTGCTCCATTTGTGTTAGGCCTGGCTAAATGCAGCATCCATTTCCAGCTTCCGTTTCCTGAGATATGATCTGTCAACACTATTGAGAGTGGGTCTGCATCTTATAGCATAATCAATCGACATGGATACTGCCGAGCCCATATTAGCCCCACCTGTAGCGTTAGGAGTCTCACCAGCGAGGCCGCACATGGAGTGATCCCTCATCACCGACCCCTCTTCCCTCATCACCGAGCCCTCTTCCCTGATTACTGACCCCTGTTCCCTAATTACCGACATCTGTTGCCTGATTACTGAGCCCTGGTCCTTCATCACTGAGCCCTCTTCCCTGATCACTGACCCCTGTTCTCCCATTACTGAGCCCTCATCCCTCATCACGACGGAGCCCTCTTCCCTGACTACTGAGCCCTGTTCCCTCATCACTGAGGCCTCCTGTTCCCTGACTACAGAGCCCTGTTCTCTCATCACTGAAGCCTCCTGTTCCCTCATTCCTGACCCCTGCTCCTTCATTCCTGATGAATGGGGAGCAGCCAACTGATAAGACAGGCGCCGCACCTTTGCCACCGGGGAGAGGAAGATCTTCGCCATGGGGGACAGAGCCACCGATGGACCCGGTGCGTCTTCATTGGCCTCTTTACGTGGTGGTCGTCGGGGCAGCAGCTCGGGCCGGGTTGGTGCAGGCTCTGTCTTGAAGTACCTGTGTTCCAAGGCTTGTTGCGCAGATATCCTGTGGTTGGGATTGAACGCGAACATCTTCTGCAGCAGATCCAGTGCGTCCTCGCTGGCACTCGGGAACAGACAGCTCAGAGGTGGCGCAGGGAAATTCACATACTCCATGTAATCTGCCAAGCACGAAACGTCGGGCCACTGAGCCTCCCTTGGCGTTCCAAAGGCGGCAAACACTTTGGTCAGCTGGTCTATGTCACTAGACCCTGGAAATACAGGACGCCTCAAAATCAACTCTGCGAAAACACATCCGGCTGCCCATAAGTCCACCGCTGGACCGTACTGCCGGCTGCCGAATAACAGTTCAGGTGCTCGGTACCACCGAGCAAATACCTGGGACGTCAACTTCCGGTCGGGACTGCCGAGAATCCGTGCCAGACCAAAATCAGCCAGCTTGAGTTCGCCAGTGTGTGAAATCAACAGATTGTTGGGCTTGAGGTCTCTGTGCAAAACCCACTTCTTGTGGCACTGGGCCAGACCCTTGAGAGTCATCTGCAGGTAGGATTTCACATCAGCAGGAGATAACACAAGGTTGCGGTCCCTTATGACTGCCTCCAGGTCACTCTCCATGAACTCGAAGACGAGATGAAGGTTCCTTTTGTGGGGATAGACATCGATCAGCTCGATGATGTTAGGATCCTTCAGCTCGCGAAGTAGCTTAATCTCCCTCAGTGCTGTCACGTTGACCCCTTCTTTGTACTTCCCGAGGCGAATCTTCTTGATAGCCACCGTCCGATTCGTCACCTTGTCGATGGCCTTATACACAACACCGTAAGTTCCCTCTCCAAGGGTTATCCCTTTCACGTATCGCCCGCTGCCCGATGTTCCCGCCATTCTTCTCCTGCAAACCAACTACAAACTCTTTTCTCGCTCGATTCCTTCTCCCCCGTTTCCTCTCTTTTCGTCCCGCCTCCCTCTCCCTCCCCTCTCCCTCCCCTCTGTCTGTCT